GTAATGCAGTGAGTAAATATAAGAGCATATAAGGTGTGTGTGTTTTCATTATCGATTAATCTGCAGATGTTTTCTACGAAGAATCGATTAACCTTTTGTCTGTAAAACAATTTCCCAGAGCACAATGTTTGTGTCATTATAGCAGCCACTTTCTTTAAATCGAGTAATCGATTAAGCCACTAATCGTCGCAGCTCTAAATGGGAATGTATGGTAATGTCGAATTAGCGGCGATATAAAGTATTGATATTGAATCATCGCAGTCGCTCAAATGCTTAATGATTGTTCTGCTAATACGACAGATGCTGCTACTGTTTTTTTCCCCATTATTGTTGAGTTTTTATCGGTTAACGAGGAGTGTAACACATTTAGTTTTCTCGTTTTTTTGTTTTTTTTCATGCAGATTTCGTCTCGTTTTCGTCGTGAAAAACGAGTTGTTCACAAATATTTCTCGTCATAGTTTTTTTACTGAAGAAATTGACACTGACTTCTACTATTAATACTCCTCCCTCTGCCATTATTAGTGGCCACTGTTCCACTACAGTCAGGACTACTTCAGATACTGCTGCTGCTAATACACTTTCCACTAACACTACCTCCATTGCTGCTATTACTGCTACTACTACCAGTAATTCTACATCCCCTTCTAAAACTACTGTTGTGTGCTTCAAAGATGACCTCATCGATTCGCTGACAGTCAAAATAGTTGCAGATTAATTCAGTAGGAAGTTTACTTCATGATTCTGCTCTCCAGATCAGACGCCGCTCGTCCTTTGTGGAAAGTCGACCCTCTTTTTTTCCATCTTGCTCGTCTCCGTCTGGAGGTATGATGTCAACTGGCAACGACCACCGGCTCCCAAACCCTTCCCTTCCTATGTCAAGAAATGAGCTTTGGTTAATGACTTCATCTGCCACACACACACACACACACACACACACACACACACACACACACACACACGCTGCTCTGCCTATAATAAACTCTCTTATTGCCACTCTGTAATTATGTCCCACATACCTGCTTGCTGGGTTAAGTATATAAAACCCACAGGTGTGTGTGTGTGTGTGTGTGTGTGTGTGTTGTCTCCTCCCTTCCTTCTTTCCTCCCTCCTGCTTCCCATTGTTCATTCACAGCGGTGTGAATTCTGGCACCTGATTTAGACCTGTCCTCCTCTTTCCTCTTGTCTCTCATTCTCTCTTCTCCTTCCTCTCTTACTCTCCCTCCTCTTTCTGTCCTTTACTTCTGCTTTTTGTTTCCTTTTATCCTCCCTTCCTTCCCTCATTTTCATCACATTCATCAGGTTTTTATTCTCGCCTCTCATCCTCATTTTCTTTCCTTCCACCCTTTTCTCCTCACCTTCATCACCTTCCCTTCTTCTTTTATATTTATGTATTTTTCTTTTGCCCCTTTCCCTTGATACTCTCTCTTTTTTCCCCCTCCCTTCATCATCACATGCTTCCTTCCCACCCTTCCTCCCTGCTCATATTTTCCTTCTGCCTTTCCTCGCCTCCCCATCCTGCCTCCCTTCCTTCCTATCTTTATCCTCACCTACTCCTTTTCCTCTGAGGTTATTTCCCTCATCTTCACCACCTTCTCTTCCTCCCTTCCTCTCCTCCTCCTCGTCCCCTTCCCTCACTCCTTCCCTCTGTTATCCATGGGAAAATGACGGATTACTTTTCGAGCTGAACGGTACGCTGATAGTTTTAGCAGAGCAAAGCGTGTGTGTGTGTGTGTGTGTGTGTGTGTGTGTGTGTGTGTGTGTGTGTGTGTGTGTGTGTGTGTTATAGTGTTACCCCAGTGCTGTTTATTTCAGTGGAGTCCTACATTTATTACATTGCAGAATAATGAGAGGTCATATTATTGCTGTGTATTTGAGTTTCTTAACCATGCATGTTGTGTTTGGGAACATTTTGTATGTGTGTGTTTGTATGTGTGTGTGTGTGTGTGTGTGTGTGTGTGTGTGTGTAAGCAGTGTTAAACATTCCACCAGTGGAGCCGTTTCTGCCTCCAGTTTGTTTTCATAATGAAAAACTCATTAGAAACAAATGAACATAAACACTGTGTCAAATGCGTTCAACTCATGCCGGAGGCCCTTTTTTCTTTTGTGTGTGTGTGTGTGTCTGTGTGTGTGTGTGTGTGTGTGTGTGTGTGTGTGTGTGTGTGTGTTTGATTTTTGGAATGTGTGTGGAAATACCTTAATTTTCACAGCGCATAATACAATAGCAACCAAAACAGAGGTGTGTGAGACCCACACTGTGCAAAATCTTACATTTCATGCTAAGGCCCCAGAAAATACTTGTTTCTGATTGGCTGGCCAGTGTCTGCTATTGAACCCAAGTGACCTGCCAGTGGGTCAGTCAATACAAACACTGTTCAAACCCACATGATTCAACAACCTTTGAGCTACTGAAGAAGAAATCAAGAGGTGAAAACTGGATGTTAAGAGGTTATTAATATATTTATATTTAATATATAATATTAGAATAATACAGGACCCATCAAACTAAGATCCAGTGCAATAGTGTGTCCTGATATAGAAAATAAAAGATGTGGTACACACTTTTTTGTCACGTTGCGTTCTCGTCACTTCACTCTACATGATGATTTTCCTCGCCTCATCTCTTATTTTCATAAGATGTGACACTTGATTTTACATTAGGAACGAGGGTGCTTCAGGCGTAACTGAAGATTCTGTGGACATCTTACTTCTCACCGGCTGATTCGTGTGAAATCAGATTAAAAACCGATCAAACGAGAAGAAAAAGAAGGATTAGACGGGTCTAGTTCAGCAGAGCCAGAAACTTGAGTGCAGTGTCAAATCATCAGCCAGGTCTTGAACTGGATCCCAGTCCGTCTAAATCTGGTTTATAAAATGTCAACAGAACCCAAATATGAAACTGTTTGTCTTTCACAAACACAAACCTGACCATCACCAAAACCAAAGGTTGTGATAAAGCTGCACAGCTCAGATGCGGTTTGCCCGCTCCGGGGTTTTCCATGTTTGGACTGGTATTACAGCAGGATCAGATTTTGAAATATTAACCTTTGAAGTCAGGATTCGTGACAGCATTAGGCCCGAGAGAACATGGCACAGAGCGCGAGTTAATATATGAAAGATCTCGATTTATGTTTGAGTTGGCTCACGAGGCAGAGTTCCCCGCTGCGTGTCCGTAAAATCCGAAAACCGTAAAATAAGACCTGTGTTTCCATGACATGCATTCCTTTGATTTTTTTTTTCTTGCAGCAGCAGTGAGAAAATGAATGAATGGATGATGGAAAGAGGGAGGGACAAGTCTGCTCTCCATTTTCACACTATATAATCAGGATTTTGTTCCTTTATATATGCCCCTGAAGAATTTATATGGGGTTAATGGTGGAATTCACCTGGGTTTGATATATGAAAAAACCCCAAACCTCCATAGTGACGTGTGAAGAAGCTGAGGGGGAAAAAACCGGACCTCACTTGCTATTTGTTGACTTTTAAAATGGGGATAATAAAACATTTTGACTCACACCAAAACTCCATTAAAAAAAGCTTCATCACTGCCACTTTCGATATGAACACAGGTTTTTACATTCTTAACCTTCTCAGTAACCCGGTTTTGGCAGACACAAGTGAACTGGATTAGAAAAACCTGTATTAGGTTTTGCCAGTTTGAGGATATTGATATTTTTTTGTTTTTTTTTGTAGCATGGAAATTAGTTGCTGTTTTCAATTTTGGTTCATGACCTCTGTGAAAAGTCTTGAGGGGTACACTTTGTTAAATTTAGTTAGAATTCATTTCAAAATACTTTTCTTTTCTCCCTCTCGCAGCAACTAAAATCTGAAATACAAAATATGATGAAACATTAAAAGAAAAGAAAAAGAAAAAGCCTTATGGTGCATTAACTTTAATATTTGGAGTATTAGAGTTATTAGATCTATATTCCAGTGATTGTGATGAAATAACAGGATAACATTAGAAAAGAAAAAAAAAAGAGAGACTAAGAGTCGGACAAAGATGAAGTTTTTGAAGCTTAATACTTCAGAAACAGTTTGGTTAGTACGTGAAAAGTACAAGAATACTCAGTAACTGTGCATATTGTATGTTAACGGTGAGCATGTTTAAGTTTCCATTCAAATATTGAACTTTTCCACCTCAGACAAGCGATATTTTGACTCTTTTCTTTTTCCTAGTGTCTTTACTCACCTTTAAAAACCTGTGGATGGGAATGCACTTAATGTGCCTTATACACTATGTACTGCAGACAACATAAAATCTTTACCATTAGTTACATTTGTTCACTTAAAACCCATGAAAAGTTTTATATTTGCTGCTCAGGACACACAGGAAGTGACGCTTTCTGAGGACGAAGAAGAAGAATCAAATAAATACAACTTTATGAATATTTTTATTATTTTATTTTTATCGTTGTTGACCCACTTTTTCTCCAGTCAGTAAGTCGGGTCAGTTTATCTGTGTGTGTCTCTCTCTCTCTCTTTCATCCTTTCTCTCTTCACGTCCGTTGTTGTGATTTACGGCTGAACTCAAACCTCGCACCACACTGCGCCGAGCACCCGTCAGTGTTTCACCCCTCTGCAGCGCACTGAAACATCCCAGCAATGCATCAACAACACGGGCTTCACCACTGTCTGTGTGACCCGCAGTCAGCACTGTGGCACACACACACACACACACACATGCACACACACACACACACACACACACACACACACACAGTCTGTTACAGAGGAATGTGTCGGGTTTCTGTGGGATGTTTTGGTGCAGGCTGTTTTGGAGATGCTCTTTAGGGTCCTGTTACCATGGGGACAGAGACAGTTCAAGAAAAATGTCTCCCAAAAAATGTGTTTTAAAGGAGTCTGCTTGGCAGCGCGGACGTATCCTTGAGAGACTTTTTTATTCTTAACGATTTTTTTTTCCCCTTAATGTGAATGTGCTTCTGTTCGCCTTCCAACTCTCTCTCTGTTTCATCTCAACCAATTCACGTCTTTGTCTCCAGATCGAGGATGGAGGGAAGGCGGCCCACTGCAAGAAGCTGAAAGTCGGCGACGAGCTCATTAACATAAACGGATCTGCCCTGTACGGCAGCAGACAGGAGGCCCTCATCCTCATCAAGGGATCGTACAGGACGCTGAAGCTCACAGTCAGGAGGTAAAAACACTGTAAAACACGAGCGCAGTCATTACCGCTGACACGCACCTGAAATATCTGCACGCACATATGAATAGTTTCATGACTTCAAAGTGAAAATTTGAGCATTTCTCTTCCAACAATGGCTGCGTGTTTGTCGCCCGACACTTTACCGACGCTGGTGCAGTCTTGACGTTGACCCGCCGACACGGGAAGGAAGACGGCGGCCGTGTTGTTAGGAATCTGCAAACACACGAGAGAGCAATGTTCTCAGGTAGAAAATTGTTGCGCAGGACGTGACCTTTGACCCTCGGGGTGTCAGAAGGGAAGCAGATAAAGTCTGATGAGCACGGAGGGGTGGATGTCTGTTTGTGTGTGTTTGTAGTCGTTTCGAAAAGCACTTGAATCTCAACGGAAACAAGTGAATGAGAAGATGAATTAGTCTTTCTGCAGAGTTTAATCAACATTAAAGGAAAATTCCACTATTTTCCAACCTGGGTTTATCTCATTATTATTGCCGCCGTACACTAGAAATTTAAGGTAAACCCAGAGATTAGGAATTGGAAATCTGAAAGCTGTTTTTCTTGAAATGTTTTCGATTATTTGTGAAATATCGTATCATACCTTTTGAGGAAGTTCTGAACAATGAACGTAAAAGTAGAAATACAAACTGTAAAATTGCTGTGAGCATTAAAAACCAAAGAAAAATTTAATGTCATGAAACACATGAAGGTTTCTTTGGATCAAGTCGTATTAACAGATGTTTTTCGGACACTTTTGGGCAAGAAAAACAAGCCGTAAACACGACAGTGACACATACTGAAAACCTCACACAGTCTTTTGATCCACGGTCAATATATGTTGTCTTAACATGGACCTGGAGGGTGTTGAGAGGGTGAAGATCTGCTGATCAGAGGTCAGATGTAACAGCGTGCTGTATCAGATAGATTATTTGGAGCAGAGCAGCTGATCACCAGGGGACATTTCTAGTTTCACAATCTCTTATCGCCCTGATGGGATTTATATTCTCCTCTCTGTGTTTAGAGATAGAAAGGATGTTTTTTTCTCCATTAGTGACAGCAATGCAAACTACACTTAAATAAATCAATAAAACAATAAAAAGTAAGGATGTAAGGCTTTGATTATTTTCTTTCTGTATATCTTGAATCACAGAAGTCTTTGAATACCACACCAACCCCCTTTTTATGTTGTGTTTTTGCCACTTAGTGGATGTAAGTATGAATGCAACATGAATATATATTATATTATATTATAATACATTTTAAATAATGTTTAACTCTCCAGATAAGAGAGAGAGAAAAAAAACCTTCACTTTTTCCATATGTTTTGTTGTTTTTCTCAACCTCTCTGTCGCCTTGACTTTGATGCTTTCAGTTCTACTCAACTGGATTTAAGTTTAAAACCAGTGTGGAAGGTTTTCTCTGGTGTTACAACTATCACTTTGTCTTGTCAGACGGCTTCAGACAGCTGTTTGGCAGCGACGCGTCTTGTTCTGGCTTTGAAACCAGATCGGCCGTCCAGCAGTCGTTGCTGAGCTTTCTGCTCCTGTCTCTGCAGCGGGCAGACCCCTGTCTAATGCTGTTAGACACACATACACAGACTGCATTCACACACATGTACAGTATAAAATGCTCATTCACAGACTCAAACAGACAAACATAGATTGTTTTAGGAATGCTGCATATGAGAATCCCACCCAGTTAAATCCCCTGTGTGTGTCAGTGTCTGGTATGTACTGAGCGTCTGACTCTTCGGGGACTTTCCCAACACTTTGTGTGTATGTGATTGGTTTGTTTGTTTATGTGTCTGCAGGATTACGCAAAAAGTACTGAACCGATTTGCACCAAACGCGGAGGAGGGATGGGGTATGGGTCAGAGAAGAAGCCCTTAAATTTTGGGACAGATCCGACAGATCTTTTACCATGAATTTGACTTTTTTTTCTCTGAAGTCTGGTGTACATTGTTTGGCCTTGGCAGAGGTCTGGTACTGAAGGTTTTGTAAGGTCAGCTTTTCATCATTAATTATTCTGCCAGTTATTTTCTAGGTTTTTCAATGTATTGTTCATAGTCTATAAAATGTCATAAAATTGTATAAAATGCTCATCACAATTTCTCAGAGTCCGAGTCCCAAACCCAAAGATGCTCATTTTGCCGTCATGGAAAACCAGCTAATACTTGCAGTTTAAAAGCTGGCACCAGTAGTTTTTCTGATGGGTTTAGAGGTTAAGAAAGTTTCTCTTGTGAAAACAACCTTCACAATCATAACAAGCTTTAATCTGTGCAGGTTTATATGAATGAATCAGTGTGTTTTTAATGTGATTTCTGAGCCGTTTACTCTCTCTAAGCCAACACAGAGCTGTTATTTGTATTTTGGCAGGAGCACTCTTAACACAGCCACCCGCATGTGAATTAAACTCACTTCGATTGACAGGTTTCTGACACTAATCGCCAATCCCGGCTTTGGCATTGGGCGGGCCTCTGCTGCACTTTGACCCCGACTCCGTGCCAGTTACGTCACGGTGTTCGTCAGCCTCGTTTCAGTCATTACTGTAGGAACAAGGAACCCTCTGGAAGGTGGCATAGCTCGCTGCTGCCAGACAACACACACAGACACACAGACACACACACACACACACACACACAAACAAAGGGATGATGAAATGCTCACATTTGCACACTTGGCTGTGCTTGTGTAGCTTTAACAGTGGAAAAGGGCCCTTAGTCAGAGGCCAAGCCTCGTTACCACCTCTTTTAATAACACAAGGGGACTGTTGGTACGGAGATGGCATGTGAGTGGATGGACGTTTCTCTCTGTTTCTTTTTCTGGCTCAGTAGGTCATTATTAGGAATGTAAAAACCTGGTGTGTGTGTGATAATGTCTTAGCTGGACAAACATTTCATGGAGGCACAATGAACCTTTTTGACTTAGACCCCTGGAGTCCATCTTAGACATTTTTTTATGCATTAATTTCTGTCTTAGTGTGGCAGCTTTTAAACCATCCCTAGCCCACATACATTGTACCATTTTTTCAGCACAAACACTGCTATAAGTCTGACAAATTATAAACTGCCAGGAAGATACTGTATGTGAATTAACTCTTGGGTTATATACCAATATCTTGAGTTACATACCAATATATACCAATATCTTGCGTTATATACCAGTATATACCAATAGCAAGCGTCATCTTAAAGGGTCAGCGGGCAGGTTTGGCTGGATTGTAGGTTTTCAGTCAAGTGTTAAAAGGCTTCTTTATAACTCCATGATGCGAAGGATTACCTAGAAGCCCCTTAAATGATGGTGTTTTGAACTTTTTAGTTCATGATTCAGACTTTTTTTTTTTGCTGTGGTCATTGTCCACAGAGCAGCACCTAATAACAACATGTCAGGCTGTAAACTTTTATAAACCGAGACTCACCTAACTGCTGTAAAAATGAAGCAGGGTGATGGGAAAGGAGGCAACCCTCTGTTTGTTCACCTCATTCCTGCTGAGCGCCAGGAGAGAGGGATTTTATTATGAAGTACCACGAGGACGCACGCCAGCACAGAGGCCGTAAATGATATAGTGTTTCTCATAATTCTTGGTAATGTGTATACATGAATAAAAATCAGTATTAATGTCGTGTAGAAATTCTACCCACCTTGAGCTAATGAAACTCGGTTCTGAATCCCACTAGATAAACAACAGGAAAAACACATTGCTGTTAATGGCAGCGTGACTCTGGACAGGTTGATGTCGCCACCTACGGGGAAAGGAGGAAATTGTTGCTGCAGTTTTGACACTGTTTAAGATCATTTTACTGATGATCTTAAAGGTCTTGGTGGTTTGTCAGTAACGCAACGTCACCTCATCAACCGTGCAGGTGGAGGAGGCCATTTTTTTTGGAGCTGCGTTTTGAGGTCATAATGCAAATAAACTGAACTAAAAGAGTGTTGAAAAGTGAAATTGACTCGTTGCCAGTAGGTGGTGCAAGTGTACAGAGTGCAGCTCTTACTTCCTATGCCTGCAGGGGGAGACATCACCCAGTCTAAAACTGCAGATCACAGCTTCTTTACCTGTAGGCGGCGCTGTTTGTCGAGGTTGAATTAGTCTGACAGAGACCAAACAGCTCCCCCTTGTGGATCTGTAGAAATTAAACATGGTGGCGAGAGTTTGCGAGTGAGTTACAAAGCATTTCCTTTAAGTTCTTTGCATCTAAAAAAATGATCATATAGTCAAAGCTAAAACCAGAGTACTATTTCCAAGTGTCAGAGTTACATAGTGTGAGTATTAGTTCGTTAGAAACTGACTTTAAAAACTCTTTCCTCTTTTTGTTTTTTTCTGCGTTTCGGTTTGAAGGCACCTAAAGATAAAACCTGCAGTTCTTTGGCTCTGTCCATTCGAGTTTACCTCAGCCAATTATATTGAGCGATAAATTTTATATGTATGCATATAAATATATAACGATGACTCCAGTCCGTTCATGCGCTTTTGGTTCCCTCCTTCTTCCAGTCTTCCAGGATGGCATCTTTCCAAACAGTTGTCAACATTTCTGCCAATTTAAGCGACTCCACCTTGTATGTTTTTGTACATGTGTGTGTGTGTGTGCGTACATGTATTTTAAACAGTGTGAGAAATTTCCCTCTGTGCCTTTTCTGTTATTCTAAGCTCAATTAAAACTCACTTAACCTAAACTGCGATGGAGAGTAGCTACATGTATTTTTTATACCCAATACGCTTGTCTTGGAAACAGCAGGAAATTACTCACTGGGGTTCCCACTGAACAGAGTTTTACTGTGGGAGCATTTCGTGAATAAATGGGCTTTTTTTTTTTTTTTTTACTGAAGGAGCAGGCAAGGAAAAATGTACATATTGGATTTAATTATATGATGTAAACGCAGAGGAAGGAAATGTGGAGTTGGCGAGGAGAGATGATGATTTGTTCAACTTTGGTTAAGATTTGGAAAATTGTGTTTTTGTCCAGCGTTTCTACTAAACGCTGGTCGGGAAAGCTTCGATATGAAAGCAAGTGGATTCATAAAAGGGGTGTATTGTATTTGAAAGGTTTCCATTACATTAATAAGGAGTTGCACTGGATTCTCATGTTTTTGGACTCCTAGAAAAATGTTAAAGGTCCCACATAGTATAAATGTAGATGTCGATGTGTTGTTTGATTATAGATCAGGTCTAGGTTTGATATTAATACTGTGAAAGGATCAAAGCGCTCAGTCCAGAGAGAAATGCACACAGCCTGTATTCAGAAACTGAGCCTTAAAACAAGCCGTCAGGACTCCTGGAACTTTGTGATGTCACAACGAAGCAGTCACAACCCTGAGCCATGGCCCAAGCCCCTCCCACCCAGACCGACCAACCATCCAACCTTGACTAATGTAGTTTCTCTGAGTGTTTTACCTGAAATCTGCTTCCTTTTTATCGGATCACTCAGAAAACAGTCAGCCAATCAGAAGAGAGGCTCAGAGCGTCCTCTCTTCTGATTGGCTCACTGACCTGTTGTTGCTAGAGCTCCAGAGGGAAGCCTGAGAAAGGAGATATAAAACTACACGGAGATGGTTTTTGTCTCTTAAAACCACAAATATATCTTCTTATGGATCAACACTTCAAAATAAAACACAGGGAAAGTGTCGAATATGAACCGTGAAAACTTCTCACTGTAATCCATTGATTCATCTTGTCCACACATTTTGATTGACTCGCATTAACTCTGCTTTCTCACATCATTGTTCATTCTTTAAATAAAATAGATTCCATTCAGACTTGCTGCTGCATTGTCCCGTGCTGCTGAAAGACGCGCAGGCCTGCAGGCTAAATATGGCGAACCACAGGAATTTACTGGCCTGCCCGGCAGTTTAGTGGAGGGGTAAGAGTGCAGAGCGTTTGGGTCCGTTTTAGGTTTTATTTCAGGGGTGATGCTTTACAAGCGTTTTAACAAGCCAACTGACGGTGAAAAGATCCCACACCGCTGTTAACTAGTGTTGTATTTTTCTCCTAATTAAGAAATCCACTATCATAAAGAATGCAGTGCGCTCCCAACAGCTACAAACACAAACAAAAGATAATTTAAGAAGAATAGTGCTAAACTGATTCTTGACTTAAGCTTCACTTTATGAGATCGCACTTTGCTGTTGGTAAATAGCAGTGAGAGGTTTGAATTTTTGTGGTGTTCTTTGGTGGTTAAGGGAAAAAATCTATGAGAAAAATACAATAGAATAAAATATTTTTATCCTACATGTTTATGATGACACATCAAATCATCTGTCAAGTATATTTTCACAACTGATTCATTGTTTAGTTTGTAATGGGTGAAAAAATGTTGAAAAACTGCAGCTGTAATATCCCAGAATCCTCCCTTTATCTTTTACATATACTGAAGCAGGAACTCATTCACACCTTTTTTTTCCACGACCCTGAAACAAAAGATTGTGGTTTTTTTTTTTTTGAGCTTCAATAACCTTTGATAAAAGAGGGTTTTCACTTTCATGTTCGCTGCCCATGTGACCTCTGCCAGTTAACCAGCAGGAGTATTTTTGTCTCTATACATCTTTTTGGGTGTTTGTTGGTGACTGATGATTTTTTCCAATATATTTCTGGAAGGGGGAAAGAATGCCGGGGATGTTTTGTCGGCTCGACCTGGAAATGTTCCTTCTATACTACTTCCTGTTTTCACAGACCTTTTGTTAGATCCAACTGTACTGTGTGTGTGTGTGTGTGTGTCTCGGTGGGCAGCCATGGACGAGGCAGGAGGACATTCCTCAACTTTTGCATCATTTCCTGTTCTTCCCAAAGTTTCCCCTCCCTACTTCCTGTCCAGCGTGGACTTAATGCGTTGGCAAAATTTGTGTGTATGTTTGTGTGAGAAGAAGCAGCTTTAATGGGAAGCAACACAAAGACCAAACGCGTTTATTTACAGCCGCTGATGGAACAGGAAACTGCTCCTCAGACGCAGGTGTGCATCAATGCAAATGCATTTGTGTGCATGTTTATATTTAATGCACAGGGCATTGGTAATAAAAGCCCTAAATGAAAGAGAATGAGATCATTTTATGTTTTATATCTATCATTTTAATTACACCCAACAGCTCTAAATGGCAGTGGAAGAACTTCAATACCCAGAAACCCTGTAAGGTGGCGTCAGTATACTACATATAGCACAGACTTGTCTGGTGCCATAGTGAAGGAAGATGAAGGGACAAGAAGAACCCAGGTTTCTCCAGATAAAGTATGTTGCTGTTCAGGATTCAACTTTCATATAATTATGCATTATTTAAAAAACATCCTCTGAAACATAAAAGACAACTATATAATTATACTATATTGATGTGGCCACCATTTACAAGCAGCAGTGCTCACACACTGCTTTTGTGAAACAGACGTGAGTTTGTCTTTTCAGGTAACTATTGTTCTTTTTTTTTTTTGTTTACACGAAGATTCAGGGAAGGAACGACATTAAACTTCTTAAAATTCTAAATCTGTTGCTCACATACTGGATTAAA